TTAATGGATTGACATTCCAAGTACAACTCGTTCTTCTGGTTGTTGAAATGGTGCTCGTTAAGAGGCCAGGACAGTATCATAGCATATATTTCGGGGTTGTCTGGAGGATCACTGAACCGTTGGGCCTTGGTGATGGAGATATACGGCCATAGATTTACCAGATGGAACCAGAGCATCTCGCAACTTGAATTACAACAAGGACCACCACCTTTACCGAGACCTTGACAACAGCGAGAAAGTCAATGGTCCTCCTTATGACCCATCTATTCAATACGCACTCAATAGTACCGGCTTCTCCTTTTTATTTTCGTCTTGTACCAGCGCAACGATGTATCGGTCTCTCCTTCGGACATCCACGATATCCACGTCTAGAATCGCCCCATCATCTTTCTGAATTGCTTGAGTTAGTCTTACATGTTCCCAGAAGAGGCCATTGGTGGTGAGGGTGTGCTGCCCTTTATGTCTGACCCATACGTCTACTTCTGGGATGTTATGATGGTGGCTCATATACCATCCTATTTGGAAATATTTCGAATAGCCCTCTGCCACTGTTTAATATAATGATGAATGAATGGGTTGCCATGATTCCGTAGTAGATGGCTCACATATAATCTCGGGCTCTCTGTCCGGGTCATCCATGAAATAGACTCGAATAGTTGACGGGCCTAAACTCATAGGCTCCGGAGTAGACTGGAGCTCTTTTGAAAGATCTTCTGCATCTGAAATAATGGCCAGAGGAATCTCTACTTTATCATTAACAGTGAGTTGGCCATTCTTCAACAGATCAGTGATTACAATGGCTTGGCCCAAGGAAAATATAGATACCTCATTTAGGGTTTTGCATCCCTCTGTTAGAATAAGAGCCACTCTTTTATGATGTTCGTTGGCACCGTCACACTCTTTGAGAGTGAAGGATCCCAGGTCATTGATTTCCTTTCTTCTCATTCTTACAGCATGAGCGACTTCATCTTCCCTTCGTGAATATTGGTCATCGTGGGTAGATTGTCAAGAGAACTGTAGGTGATACTCACCGTGATCGGTACCCTGAAGTCGCCCGAGCAATCGCCTTCTTCTCAAATATTTCACATAGTTTCCTATTACTCACTGCCCTTTTAATCCAATTCAAATCCTCGTGCAGAGCTTGCAAAGAAGGAGAGCGATTCCACTGATCTGAGGGAGCAATCTGCATCGCCCAGAATTTGGCCATCCCCGACCGAAAACCGTAGGTTTTTGGAGGGTTCTATGTTTGATCGTAACACTGGGATTCCCCTACCAGGAGTTCGGCCGCCTTGCCTGTCAACCTTCCCTTTACGCTCGCCTTCTCGACTCCTTGCTCCCAACCACTTCCTTTCCCCTTGAATTTTATTTTTCTTTCGTTCTTTGCCATTTATGCACAGTAAGATGTGACCTTTAGCTATTTTGGAATATTCTATGAGCTCTATCTATCAGGTCCGACTGATTTTCTCTTTAATTCGCGTGAATTCCCTCTTACAGAAACCCCCTTTTTCCTCGCCTTCCTTCAATCCCTTCCTTTCTCTCTCCCTCGCTCCATCCTATTCTCCTGACTTGCATGATGTCTACCAAAGGGTCCAGTACGAAGTCTTACCTGCTCTTCATGACTACCCTTTAACCCATAATTTAGCTTCTCGCTCAGACACCACAGGTCACCGCACTTTCAGCTCAAGCCCCGAACACGAAGATACTTGCTCGGATACTTCCTCAGCACCTTCTCCGTTTACTCGCGTTCCTCAATCTGACTCCTCGGATGAAGCGTCCGGACCAAACCTCCATCCTCATCTCCCTTCTGACGATCCGAAGCTTACGTCTGAAGCACCTGTGTCCTCCCTCTACTTGGACCTCAAATTTTCCACCGTGGGCGAACTCTATTCCCGCCTGACTTACTTCCCTTTGCACGAATTGCGAAGTTGGTTCACCTCTTACTCTTGGACACCTGAGGGACCTCGCAATGCTAAATCATCTTATCTGACCCCTCTCACCAATCTTTTCATTCATCACCTACGAGATCTAGAGTGCATGGATATTCGTGACTTGGTTTTGCGCCTCAGACATTCCAGTGTTCCACTCGCGTCCAACCTTGACGGGTTGATTTACCAAAATCTTCAACTTGCCTTCCCACCTACCCTCCTCTCTCGCCTTTTGTACGTTTCTCGTTTGAATGAACTGCACAATCAGCGAGCACAGCGACAAGAGGACCGTAATCTGTCCTGCAATGAACTCATAGCAGAACGTCAACACATCATCAATGATTGGCCACAGCTTATTCCTCAGGACACCATCCTACAGTGCTGTTCGGACTATGCTGCTGCGACCAACATCAAGGTTCCTCGTCCATGTGTTTGTTGCGGGCGGTCCTTTGCTCAAGACGAACTACACGAGTCCTTTCGTTTCTCTTTTAACCTCCGCCGTTTGTCGGACGATCATCCGTTGAACACTTTG